GGTGTCCTGAATCTCCATTCTCCTACTTAGGTTTAAGATTTTGCTTTGTCCATGCCAACACCTACTGAAGTTGGTTCTATGAACTAATGAAAACATCATTACATTTATTACAGTTTAAAATCAAATGAATTTTAAAGGCACTCAAAGCAATAAAGCCTTTTATTAAAAGAGTTGCCAGATACAATAAACTTTTAAAGAATTGTGCATATATTAAAACATGAATTAGAAATGGCTTTAACCTGATTCATTTATACTTGTTAATTTTCTTTTAGTCAGATGTCTTAGCTATAAGTGTCCTCTGTTGCCAGAAGAAAAGTATTATAGTAACTTAATAGTTAACCTTTGCATTGTAAAATTATCCCTTTAATCATACCCAACCAGTGGCTTCTTCTGAAACCTTTTGCGGAATGGTGGATTGTTTTACTGTACTGCTATTTCTGGTTCTCCTTGGAGAATTTCCTAGGTCTCTGCTCATTATCCAGGGACTTAGAAGGCTTCCTAACGAGGAGCATATACTTTCCCGCCGGTTGACAGCTGGCTTGCTCATGTGACTTGCTTTGGCCAGTAGAACATGAGCAGAATTGAGGTGCGCACAATATGAGTTTTATGAGCAGCACGTTCCATTGGTGCACAAGAGCTGATTGTAACATTTCCAGGCGTTGGGCAAGCCACTTGTTAAACTGAAGTTTGAAATCAGCCATGGTGGGAGTATTTACCTTGGAAACAGCAAACGCTACAAACCAGGACTTCTCCCTCCTCCTTTAGAGCTGTTTACCAGCGCCAATTTTCAGGTTTCAGTCTGGAGCCTGGAATAAAGAACACTGGTGGAGCAGAGCCAAGGCTGCCTTCAGCTGATGCAATCTGCTTGAGAAATGGAGCTGTTTTATAGTCAAGCGCTGAACGCCATCCAGCCAAGGCTGGTACGCCGTGCTGGTGGTTTGGTGAACACTGGGGAGCGCTCCCTTTATGTGCCCAGACTTTGTAGAGGGTTTCTTTTAACGACTAGTGACATCACAGGCTTTGAACCTGAAAGGATGCCAACCGCACTCGGACTCGGATTAGGACTCGGACTGGGGAATCCAGGTCTTGGAAGGTTAACGCAAAGGTGTAAACCAGAGTTCCATTCTAAACATTGCTCAGCTATTGCATCACTTAAAAACCCTGGCAAACACAAGCGAGTCCCTGGTGGGCATGGGCGCTTTGGGGGCGACCGCTGCAGCGCTTTTGTGCGAAGGCCGCTGTTACCATCCTTGCCTCTCAACCCCACCCCGCTCAGCGTGAATTGAGCGCTGTGTCTTTAAGGGGGAAGCGCGCGGAGGTTTCCGTCCGGGCAAAATGTCTGCGAGGAGCCTGGAGGGGCTGGCGAGCGGGACCCGGGCCCGCCTTGGAATCGCGCGGCGCCTCGCGGGTGACGCGGTGAGTGCGGGCTGGTGCCTCGCGGCGGCTCCCGGACGTGCGCTTGGCCGGAGCCGCGGGTGCGAGCGCCGCGTGTGGACCCGGGGCTCTGCGCAGAAGTCCGTTTCTTCTTCTCGAGACCCTTCCCCAAGTCTCCCTTCGACAAAGTCCCGGGAATACCGAGGTCGTCGCCGCTCTCCTGCTCGCCTTTCATCAGGGGTTGCGTTCTTGCAGGCTGACTTTGAATGGTGCGAGTGGCTGAACGGGCGCCCTATGGGGGGATCCTATCTGATCTAGGTTTTCCCAACATTCCCAGCTTTTGGAGGTAGAAACCCACTGCCAGCCAGGTGCCGAAACCGGAATCCCCACCCCCATCCCGCTCCCCAGGGCTGGCAAACAAAAGACTTTTCTGATCCTTTTGGAGTAGCATTCGCGGTCTCTCTCTTTTTTTTTTTTTGGAAAAGTTTTGGCTATAGGGCGAGTGCGCTCACCAGAAAGGCAGCGGGAGACAGAGACAGAAATCAGGAAATCATCCTCCGCACCCCCCCACCCGGGGGGATGGCCACGCCACAATCCCTTCTCCATTCTCCTCTCGGGATCATGGGCATGCATGTACACGCGCCGGGTGTGAGTTTAAGCCCTCGGATCGAGACTCGAACCTGGGTCGAGTCTGGATCACCACCTTTTTTTTTAAAGGACCATCTGTATTAAAGTAAAGATCTACTTTAGGGGAGAGCTCTTTACAATTTTCATCGTAAACGAAATGCACTATTAGAGAACATGTCAAATTGACCAGGTAATTTTCCCTGTGGATTCAGTACATGTTTTAAAAAAGAATTATTTTGGGGACCAGCAGGTGGCATGGTGGTTAAGGAGCTGGATTTCCACATGACTGACCTTAGTTTGTTATAGTCTAATCAGTGAGAAAGGAGGACATCCAGGAGCCAAATTACAGGAGTTCCTTATTAATGGGCCAGGGGTTCAGGGGAGCATTCTGGGGGAGGATTCCTGTTTCTCAAAGACCTGGTAGAGAGAAGGGGGTTATAAAGGCAAAAACCACATTGAGGTTGACATGGCAATTTACAATGGAAAGTGAGGAAGGGGTAGAGATTCCTACCCTAAGCAGTTAAAAAAGCTAGATCAAGCAGATTAATAAATCTCTAACTTCAACCTTTACTTAGACACAGTGGAATCTTAATGGCCTCCATGGCTCGGGGCAGGGGATGGGTGATTGGAGATTATATCTCTGGACAATTTCTAAAGGGAGTCGGTTTCTGGTCCAATTGACAGAGTCAGCAGGTATGTAATCATCCTTTTACCCCTAGGTGGAAAGAGGGAGGAGAGAGAAAGCAGTTACTTAGAATAAAGAAGGAACTTACAGTTCAAAATGGTGGGGTCCTGCTTCAGGTTCAAGTCCTGGACCTGGTGGCTTGCCATCTTGTTTTCTCTCTCTCTCTGGTAAACACATATACCCTATAGCAAGTTAAAAAATAATGGTAATAAATAAAATAAGTAAAATTTTGAAAGGCTTATTAATTTATCATTGTTGTTATTTTTTACTTTGTTACAGGCACATGTGCTCATGAAAGAGAGAGAAGGAAGGTGAGAAAGCAAGCCAGGTCCGGGACTCGAACTGCATCAGCCATGTGGGAGTACAGTGCCTTAACTACAATGCCACCTACTGGCCCTGATCCAGTACTTTTTTTTTCTGGAGAGTTTTTTTTTTTTTTTTTTTTTTGCTATAGGGCGTGTGTGCTCGCCAGGAAGACAGAGAGACACAGAGACAGAAAGCAAGAAATCACCCTCTAGCAGCAATGGCCATGCCACAATCCCTTCTCCTCCTTTCTTCTCTCAGGATCTTGGGTACGCATGCACACAGCACACAGGCCCTCCTTGAGTTTAAGCCACCGAGTCTGGACCTCAAACCACAGTCAACTACATGGGAGTCCAGCAACATAGCCATTACAGCCAACTGCTGGTCCCTCCAGTACATTTTTTAACAGTCTGCATGTAACATTTTCTTCCCTTTATTCACACTTAACTCTTTATTCCCCAACTTTTATAATTTGAAAGACATGTTTCTTTTTATTTCATCTGAGCCTTCAGCCTGGAGATTTTGGTCTAATTTTTCTAATTGTCTGCATCTGTCATATGTTTATAAATAAAATAATACATGTCAGTCTGAAATATTAGTTGACTAATATTTATTATATTACATATATATAATATATATATATATATATATATACACACACACACACACACACACACACATGTATTGTTCTATTTATAAAAAGTGATGGACAGACACCAGAAGAATAAATTGTTGTTTCCTTGATACTTCAACTGTCAAGACTAGTAATTTGTTTTAATTATTTTCTGCCTTGATTAAAATCACTGGTGAAGAAAACGAAAATGTTTTTGTTTCTACAGAGGTCTGAGTGAATATCACATTAGCGTGAATTTCTCATGTGTTATCTCAGTTCAGCCAATAGATATCTGTTTATAATTCTGCCTGGTTAATTCAACTGAAGTGAGAAGCCAGAAGGAAGGACAAACAGAGCAGTAATTCATTGTTATTTCCTTATAAGAACATTGCCTGGTTCTTTGACCTTCAGTCTGCGTAGCAATTTTCTTGTACACAGCATAAGTATAAATTTAACTTCTGCGGTGGTTGATAGAATGACTCTCAATGATATGGTCATACTTTGTGTACGCTGGTACTTCAAACGTTTATGGGGGACCAGCAGTTGGCATAATGGCTATGTCATTAGATTCCCATGTAGTCCACCACGGTTCAAGTCCCGGACTCGGTGGCTTAAACTCACACCAGGCACGTGTGCATGCATGCCCAAGATCCCAAGAGAATGGAGGAAAAGGGATTGTGGCATGGCTATCACAGGGGGGATTTCTCGCTTTCTGTCTCTCTGTTTTTCGGGCGAGCGCATGCGCCCTATAGCAAAAAAAAAGTTTATGAATAATTGAAGTATAAATTTATTTTGATGTAAAAAAAAACAACCAGCAGTTAGCCTAATGGCTATGTCGCTGAACTCCTATGTAGTCGACCACGGTTTGAGTTCCGGACTCGGTAGCTTAAACTCATGCCAGGCGCGTGTGCGTGCATGCCCAAGATCCTGGGAGGAGAATGGAGGAGAAGGGATTGCAGCGTGGACATTCCCTCCTGGGGACATAATTTCTCACTTTCTGCCTCTCCGTCTCTCTGGTGAGCCCCACAGCATAAAACTCTATTAAGAAACAAAAAAGAAGAAGAGAACTTCTTCAAGAATGGAGCTGAGTACAGAGATAATTAATGTGAACTTATTATCTTCCACAGGCTTAGACTTCTTGTCATTCCTTCCTGATAACGGATCATTAAACAGAACTGAGCCACAGAGAGCTCAGAAGCATGGGACCAACAGTACTGCTCTCTCCCCTTCCACAAAATAGGTAAAATCTACGTTTGTTTTTTTAGGCTTTTTTCTCCCTGAAATTAGATTTTTTAATATCTGCTGTTAAATTCATTGTATGTTAGCAGTGCTTTTATTTAGTTTTAATAAAATTATTTTAAAATAGGAGCTTCAAAGCCTAGTTATACAACTGAAGCATTTGACCTTTACCTGAGTCAAACATTAATGGCAGCGTGTTTCCATAGTGGACAACACAAAGCATTTTGTGCCCTCTGCATGCTGAGAAGCATGGGTGTTTGTGTTCGGACCCCCATGGCCTCAGCGCCCAGGAGTTGCCTCCTGTCCACCCCTTCCCCATTGTGGACATCGAGTGATGGAGTTCACCCTAAGGAGAGAGCACTGCTCTGACCTTTACTGGGATATGAGAATTATTGCTGGCAGTATCTCCTTCCCTACCAGATGGTGAGCTTCCTTTGGAATGCTTGGCTGCAAGCTCATGCCTGGCCTGAACAGGTGCACAATGTGCATTTGAATGAAGGAGTTGGATGGAGTGAATGGATGTAAGCAAAATAGCCACATTCACTGGCACCTTTCTGGTAGTTTAAAAACATATTTAAGGAAATAGTGAGAGAGCTCTTATTTCATGTTCTGCTTGCTAGCTCATCACACAACTAATGGATATACATTTTATTTATGATACCACACGAGAGAGAGGCACCCTTGTTGGTTCTCATCACTCTGTGCTTCCCTTCCCCAACCCTCCAACAATTCAGGATCCTAGGTGGCCACACATGGGCCCCATGGGTTTCCAAGCCCACCAGGGGATCCAAGCCTTTAGTCTCCATATGGCTTCAAGTCTTGAGGAGCACTTGGGTCACTGTGCACCATAGCAGCTGGGCCCAGGCATTTTGCAGGTGTACTTGGTAAGGATAAATGTATATCACAGGGCTCCAGCTAGTCAGACCACCCCGTTATCTTTTATTTGAGTGATGAGTAACTTGTTTTGTATGAAGGTCAATTTTAGAAGTGAAGATAAACTTGGAGGATGAGATTCTTTTTATTTTTCTAATTTTATTTTATTTTATTTTGGCAGTGGGTACGTGCACTCACGAGAGAGAGAGAGAGAGAGAGAGAGAGAAAGCACCCCTCAATGGGGCATGGTCATGCCGCAATCCCTTCTCCCCCATTATTCCATCCCTTCAGTATTTTGGACACATATGCAGGTATGTTTTTCAAGCCAGTGGGGCCAGGATTCAAACTTGCAGTTGGCCATGTGGAATCCAGCTGCCTTAACCAGCAGGCCACAGGGCTAGCCCTGGAGAGTAATGTTCTTTTTCTTTTTTGTTTACTTTTTATATTAAAAAATCCCCAAGGGGATTCTTCCAACTTAGACTACCCAACTGAATATTAAAATGCCATATACAGGGGCCAGCAAGTGGCATGGTCGTTAAGGGCACAGGACTCCCACATGGCTGACTGCAGTTCAAGTCCTGCACCTGATGGCTTGCTTCTCTCTCTCTCATTCTGCCCCTCTTTGGCCAAATTAAAATAAGTAAATAAATAAAGTTAAATAAAATAATTCTTTAAAAAATAATAATAATAAAATGTCACATACAAAAACAACACTGTCTTTTGGCCATTTAAGGTCTTAATGTGAGTGTCATCAGAGCAATAAATACTGGTGGCTTCTTTTTTGTTCATGTCATAAATTTCTATTGCATTGGAGAGTCCAGCAGTGATACTGACTGTGTTATCTGATTTCAGCCCCCCGTTTAGAAGCAGATGAACTTATTTCTCTTGACAGAAGGAGAGACTGAGACTTGGATAAGCTGGGGCAAGAAACATGAGTTGGCTTTATTTCATTCAAACAACGTCCCCTGGGTGTTTACCCTGAGCCAGGGAGGCGACTGAGATGAGGTCCTCTCTTATCCCACTCTCCATCTCTTGTGGATATTGCCTCTCCTCCTGCTTGTGTGGGACACAGCAAACCACCTGACATTGAGCAACCTCACACACTGGGTCTCCCCAGGGCTGGGCCAGTGCAGTAGACTTACAGATCTCTGGGACCTGGCAGTGGGTTTTCCCACTGGACTGACCCCCTTTAGTATCCATAATTAAGATGCTTGGTGCTGCCTGAGCTCATATGCCTGAAGAGTCAAAGATTGTTTTTAAAGTTGTTTTTGATCTATGAGATAGATGAGAGAGAGAGGTAGATAAAGATATCCCATAGGCGTGCGTTTCCCAAATGCATACAGATGATCACAGGCACACTTTCTTCGTAACTTTTTTGCTTACCTCTTCCCTTTTACATTGGCTACCACTGCCTCAATCCACAGTTTCTCCTTCCTCATTCTTTTTCATATATATCTATTATAAACACACAGATAGGTAGCTCTTATACAGATCTATATGTGAGGGGTCTTCAAAAAGTTAATAGAAAAAAGTATTTGGAAAAACTATGCATGGATTTCAAATTTGTTTGCACTAAAATAAACCTTTATTTTAATTCTACATATCCCCAAACTTGTATACACTTTTCTGCATTCATGTTCTTCTCCCTGAACAGTTCTCCAGAAACCCTTCTAGGACATCCAGTAGAGTGTCCATCCATCTTTCTAATAGTTGCGTAACATCCGCTGGTGTGAGCATACATTACGTACTCAGCTATTCTTCTGTTGATAGGCATTGCTCTGCTTCTATTTAAAAAATTTTTTTCCATTCTAAATAATGCTGCAATAAATCCATAACACCTGGGATTTTTTTGGTATCAGTACTTTTTTTTTATTTGCTAGAGATTATACGCCCTTGCCAGAGTGACAGAGAGTGAGAGCAACACCCATGGGGCATGAGCACACCCACAATTCTTTCTCCTCCATCTCTCCCTCCTTTCTGGATTTTGGGGATGCATGTACACGTGCCCAGTGTGTTATTCAAGCCACCAAGTCTGGAACTCAAGCCACATGGTCAGCCATGTAGGAACCAGCTGCTTCAACCACCATGCCGCTGGCCAGCCTAGGTATTACTATTTTTAGTTCTGCAGACTAGATCCCCAGGAATGACTCTCTGATTATGTCTTATTTTTAACTACTTCGGAAATTGCCAGATTGCATTCCTAAAAGCCATCACATCTGCACTGTTAATGCACAGTGTGCCCTTTTCTCTGCTTGCCTCCTCATTTGGATTGCTGGACCACATCATTTTTGTTAGGGTGGTGAACGGAAATGATACTTTTTACTTCAATGGCATTTCCCTGAATGTAAGCAGCGTTGTGCATCTTTTCACACATTTTCTGACCCTTTCAGTTTGCTCTTAGGTGATTTATCTAATCACATTTTTTAATCTTTTGTTCTGTTGGGTCCTTTGTCTTTTTCTTCTCCCTTTACGGAAGCTCCTGTGTGCTTGATGGTTGTAGCTGAAAAGTCCAGTGAGGCTTCTGTTCCAAGCAAGGTGGTTGACTGGAGGCCTCTTCGCCAGTAGAGGTGGGCTCAGGGGTGGTTTAGCAGAGCTGGGCCAGCTGCTGGGACCTGTGGGTATGGACTGCTGGCCAGTCTTTAGAGCATACTGATCCAGATGCAGCCACGCATGGAGGACTGAGAAGGTGAGGCAGTCCTGTGCCATGCTGCCTTCCACTGGTTATGACCTCCGAAAGCAAAGGGCTGCCCAGGCAGCGCACGTCCCTCTGCCACCCTCAGAGGGGCAGCACTGTGCTGGCTGACATTTGTGGTGCTTTTGTCCCTGGCTCAGGCAAGGCTTTCCAAGTGGAAAAGTGGATTAATACGTCACGATCCCTGCTTCTTACCCTTGTGCCCACCTTGACCTTTACAACAGATGGCACTTGTGTGTGTGCCTCTCCTCTGGGCATCTCAGATTTTCAAGAAACCCGGGAACATCGTGTAGAAAAAGCATGGCAGTAATTTATCCCTTTTGGCACCATTAGGGGCACATCAGTAAAACCAGCTCTCAGACTTTGGCCCAGGTGAGAGACACTGTGGGTTAGGTGCAGTTTCCAACCCTCAGCTCAAGACAGCATATCAGAATGCAAAGCAATAGTCTTGATACTGTAGGAAGTTTATAAAATAAGTCATAGGGATTCATCATTAGTAATCTCCACTTTTGTGCATGTCCAGTAATGTAAAAGGAGCACCGTACTTTGTTGAATAAAGTAAGCCCTTATTAGTTTTTCTTAATTTTTTTCTTAATTAAAGGAATTGAGCAAGCTTTGCACCTTGAGAATATCTATCTATATGCCATTTTGATAGGGTGAGGAATAAAGAAAACTAACTTATTCATTTTATGCTTCGGGCACTTGTGAAGAGGTCAGAGAAGATGAACACCAGAAGTACGTAGCACAGTCAGTATTTGTGGTATCCATCTTTAAGGCTGTTTGTGTGGATTTCTTTCACTGTGCTGCCCGTCTTTTGAGTATACTCCTAGCGCTGCTAAGGGTTCTTAGCACTGGAGTCATGCTGTGGTGTCTGTACCCCTGGAACAGGAGTGGTTGGAAACCCCAAGAGCCTTAGGACATGGCCCACCATCTATCTAAAACATCTTAATGGCTTTTAGTACTGCCTATATTTGTGTGTGTGTATAAATATATATATATATATATATATATATATATTTTTTTTTTTTTTGGACAGAGCGCATGTGTACTCCCCAGAGAGAGGAGGGAGAATGTGCGCAATCACTCCCCATGGGAATGGCCACACAGTAATCCCTTCTCCATTTCTCTCTCTGGGGATTTTGGGCACACACATACACCCAGCATGTTTTTCAAGCCCCTGAGTCCCGGACTTGAACGGTGCAGTCAGCCATGTGGGCTCTAGCTGCCTCATCCACCATCCACCAGCTGTCTCAAGTGTATTGTTTTTATAATCGTTAAGAGTTTTTTTTTTTTTTAATCTTGAAAAATGTGCAGTTGTGGAAGGCTTTTTAAAAGGCTGCTCATGGGACCAGCAGACTGCATTTAATGGTTATGTTGCTGGACTCTCATATAATCAACCGCAATTCAAGTCCCGGACCTGGTGGCTTAAAACTCACACCTGGCACGTGTGCGTGCATGCCCAGAATCCCAAGAGGAGAATGGAGGAGAAGGGACTGCAACAAGGCTAAAGGCTATCCTCCCCCACACACACACACACGAGGTGATTTCTTGCTCTCTGTGTCCCTGGCGAATGCACACGCCCTATAGCAAAAATTTCCCTTAAATAAATAAATAAATAGTTGCTCATATTCCAACCAGGGGTGATTTTTTGCTTTCTGTCTGTCTCTCCGGTGAGCACATACACCCTATAGCAGAAATCTAAGACAAAAAAAAAACGAAAAGACTGCTCACAGTACAGCCATGGGGTCCACAGGTGGTACCCACGCGGAAAGCTGGAATTACATGGACGGCCAAGCCAACCTGGCTGCCTTGATGAGGTTGCCTGTGTGACCCTAGCTAACTGGGAGTGTAGGGCAGGAGGATCTCACAACTTTGACCTTTCCCCTCCCTCTTATTTAAAAATAAATAAATAAATAAGGGAAAAAATGGCTGTTCACCACAGGCAATTCCACCCCTAAAGTTGAAACAAACTTTTTTGGTCATAGCAGTAGTGATGGCATGTGCTCCTGAGATTCTGTGCTCTTTCAGGCTGCCATGAAGCACCTGGGTTCGATTCCTGGCACTGGCCAGGTGGTATGAGCCTATAATTCCAGCAAATAAGGAGGCTATGGTAGGAGAAATGTGACAGCCACACCCTGTCTTTTAAATTTTTTTTCCACTTTCATTTAAATTATTTTTAAATTTTCTACAGAGAAGAGTACAGAGCCTCATTCTTGTTCTAAAGAGTAAGGATAGGGACCAGCAATTGGTGTAAGGGCTATGTTGCTGGACTCCCCTGTAGTCGACAGCATGTTCGAGTCCCAGACCCAGTGGCTTAAACTCACACCAGGCGTTTGTGCATGTGTGCCCAAAGTCCCAAGAGAAGGGATTGCAGTGTGGCCATACCCCTGGGGGGTGATTTCTTGCTTTCTGTCTGTCTATCTGTCTTTCTGGAGAGCACAGGTGCCCTATAGCAAAAACCTCTTCAAAAAAAAAATAATGAAGATAGTAACTATTTTTTTTCAAAGTGAAGACTAGTTAAAACTCATTTGTATACAGATAGAGTACTTATTTGGCTTGTTGCTTTCAATTTTTGGTATAAATTCTTGTTACCTGGGAACTCACCTGATTTTGAAGGAGGGCTAGATATTTTAACATGTTTTTCAGAGGAATTAATACTATTACTAATATTAAAGAGTAAGCAACCCCAACATCCAGCAATCTAGGGTTTTTATCTCATAAAGGGAGGGAGGCATGGTTTCTTCACAGACTACCGTCGAGGCAGCAGTGTATCTGTGTCTGTACTGTAACAATGTCATTGCCCGCCCCCCAGCCCCATGCAGACGCCGCAGAAAGGATGAGTGAAGCGCTGAGGAGGACCATGGAAGATGGCCCTGGGCAGGACGACCCTGCGGCGGTGGGCCGGTGTCTCGGGCTGACCCCGGCGGTGCCAGGCCACTTGGAGGCGCCATACTCCGAGGCCTGGGGGTACTTCCATCTGGCCCCAGCAAGCCTCCGGCACCGGACCGGCCACTGGGCCACCTGCCGTCTGTGCGGGGAGCTGGTGCGCCGCGGTCCTGGTTGGCACGCAGGGACCTCGGCGCTGTGGAGCCATCTGAAAAGCGCGCACCGGCAGGAGCTGGAGAAGAGCAGTGCTCCGCGCTCTCCGCCCGGCCTGCCGCGGCCAGACCCTGCCGCGATTGCCGAGGGTGACTGGGCGCGCCTGTTAGAGCAGATGGGTGCGCTGGCCGTGCGCGGCAGTCGGCGAGAGCGGGAGCTGGAGCGGCGCGAGGCAGCGGTAGAGCAGGGCGAGCGCACGCTGGAACGGAGGAGGAGGGCGCTGCAGGAGGAGGAGCGCGCTGCGGCCCAAGCACGCCAGGAGCTGCAGGCCGAGCGGGAGGCGCTGCAGGCGCTGCGAGAGATCAGTCGCCGTGAGGGCGCCCTGGGTTGGGCCACCGCTCCATCCCAGGTGCCGGTCAAAGAGGATCCTGAGAACAGGAATGGCTGCGTCATCACTAAGGTCCTCCTCTAAGGGCTTGTCCCCTCCCACCTGAGGCCAAGAGTGGGCCGAGGACCAGTGCCGCCTCCTCTCCTGGGAGCAGAGGACCAGGCTGCTGCCTCTCTACTGACCAGGATGACTAGGAAGCTGCAAATGTGGGACCTCCCCGTGACGCTGCTGCTGCTGCTGCCGCTGCTCAGTTTGAGAAGCACTTCGAAGCCAGGGCAGAACCAAGTCATTTCCTCCCTGGATTGCCTGCCAGGAGGCCAGTACCTCCAGTGCTGGTGACCTTTCACACGCAGGGAAGGAGTGGCACACACAAACTCTCGGGAGCTCCGGGAGCCCCAGGAACCCAGATCACCTGGTACCGTGGCCACTTTGAGTTGGGAAACTCGTGGCTGGTGACTTTGAAAGACAGTAGCTTCTTTACCAAAGACTTATCACATCACGCTCCATACAGCAGTGTGGCCCAAAAGGACTATACATGAAAATGAGGACAAAGCTTACCCCAAAATAATTTTACTCATTTCCTAATGCATAACCTGCCCAGCACCAAGTTCTACAAAGGGAACCTGTTTCCATGACCACTTTTATGCTCATCTCTAGATTCTCATCAGGGCATCCTGGAGAGCCCTTTTTATTCAATTAACGCTACTACTATATCGCATGGGCCACACCTCCTGCAGCCTTACTAGCAAGATGTGACCTTATCTTCTTGTTATTAAGGAGAGAGGTCGCCCTGCCCCCACCCAGTCCTTGCATCTGGGCCAGAGGAGAAAGCTTTCTTCTCCTGTCAGGCCACCTCTGCCCACTGTGTTTTCACCCTGTTACTCTTCCATGTCTACTGGATCTTTGCTGTTAGAATTCCTTTCTCAGTCTCATCCCTCCTTTTCTCCAGGGTCCTCTTTCTCAGCAGTGCTTCCTCCCTTGTCCTGAAAAGAAAGCCCAGAAGGCTCAAGTATACTTCCTCCCCATTGTTATTCCTTCACTCCTGGTCAGCTTTTCAGCTAGACTGTTTGGAAGCCACCTAAATCTCCAGTGAGCAATACTGTATGATAACTGATTTGGGGCCTTCATTTTTGCTAATCTCCCTTGAAATTCCTCCCTCAGCAGGGAATGTGATTTTCCTCCAAAAATCTCCAATGAGCAATACTGTATGATAACTTATTTTGGGGCCTTCATTTTTGCTAATCTCCCTTGAAATTCCTCCCTCAGCAGGGAATGTGATTTTCCTCCAAAGAATTCATTTTCCTGATGTTTACTAGTTTCCAATTTTTCCCTCAGGATGGAGATATATATATATATATATATATATATATATATAGAGAGAGAGAGAGAGAGAGAGAGAGAGAAAGAAATTCTAGGTATCCAGAAAAAGTTGGAGGCCAGTACATGCATACCCTCCATCTCCATCTAATGGAACTGTTAACATTTTGCCATATTCTCTCCAACCCATGTGTGTGCACATGTGCACCCCTAGTACTTAAGGATGTATCTCGTAAGAATGAAGTGTTCTACATGATAATAGTATGACTATCCTACCTAATGTAAATAATAACTCTCTGGTAGGATTATCAAGATCTCCCAATTGTCTCAAGAATGTCTTTTTATCTTTAAAAAAAAAAATCAGGTCCAATCAAGGTTCATGCATTACTTTCTGTTGTACCTTTTTAATCTCTTACTTTTGGAAGTATCCATGGCAGCTGCCTTATAAAATGACCTATACTCTGGCTCTGTCTTATTATCTTCTTGGGTCACTTTCTACACTCCAGCTCATCTCCCTCTAGAGTGACAGTAATCTGAAAGTCCTCCCCAAGTCTGGTTCTTCATGCCCAATCCCCTGCTGCATGTCTCTACCTCAACTTGTACATGCTGCCTCTGCAAATGGAAGGGGAAAGGGCTGGCCCCATGGCTGCACAGTTAAGGGAGCTGGATCCCACATGGCCAACCATGGTTCAGATCCTCGCCTCATCAACTTGAAAAATGCACTGGGCGTTGTGTGCATGTGCATGCGTGTACTCGCCCAAAATCCTGATGGGAAGGAAGAAAAGGGATTGCCTGAGCACACACATCCTCTAACAATAAAACTTAAAAATGGAAGGGGCAAGTCTATTCAACTCTACCACCTTTGACCTGATAACTTATATTCACTGAATACTTAAAAATGTGCTTACTACACAATTCACATGTATTATCTCATTTTACTTTCACAACAGCTCTATGAGGAGGTATTAATATTATGTCCATTTTACAGCTAATGAAGCTGAGGCAGAGAGGAGTAGCTTGTTCAAGAACACAGCTGGTTAGTGCACGTGCGATCCAAATGTAGTCTAGCCCCAGATTCCACGCTCTCACTCCTGTACTGCCTGTTACCCAGTCATCCAAAATGACAACTGTCCTTTCCTAACTCTACTTCCACTTAGTAGGATGAACTGGAGTTAGCAATATTAACATTTACTGGACACTCACCACACGAGAGCTGTGCTAAATGCTTTACAAAAGAAATTATCCGCTACACAGCAATCCCGCTACACAGCAATCCCACGGCAGAGGTGCCATTATGCCCACTTTGTAGATCAGACAGGCTCAGGGGAGTTAAGTAACATCTTCACAGCCACACTGCTGTGAAGAGGCAGAGTGGGATTTGAACTCTGATCTCACTGAATCCTAAGTACCTGCTTTACTATTTCTGCTTTATTAGTTCTATTTCTACAAAACTTCACACCCCCTTCTGATCCCACCCACCAAGCCCAGGGCCATTTATCAATCATCTGGGACTCATCTTCCTTCTCATCCTTGTCTTGATCTACTGTCCCCTACCTGATACACAGCTTGCCAGAGCCAAAGAAGGAACTGTCCTAAGCCAATATTGATTATATTACTTTTTCTGCTCAAAAATCAAGATCACTCATCACCTACTATTATAGTCCAAGTTTTGACTGGAATCTGAGATTCAAGTCCCCCCTCCTCCCACTCCTGGGTACTAGTCTTACTTGTCCCCTCCCCTATATATACTCAGTGCTTTAGCCAATTCTGGATTGTTCTTCCTGACATACTGTGGTCTTGGCACATCTGTGCCTGTTTGCCTTTTCTCCACTTAAAAAGCTATTTCAATCTCTGACTACAAAAAAAAAAATCCTGCCTATTTTCTAAGACCATGAAGCTTTTCTTGATTTCTCCTCTTTTAGAAGCCTTTTCTTCTCTGGACTCCCCCTAGCACTTGTATCTCTCAACCCTTAGAATGTAGTAAATGATTATGGGGGTTCTTGACTCACCTCCCTGCCATACCCTGAGCCTTTGGGAGTAGATTACTCATCCAACTCCCACATTGCCTTGCTTATAATAGTTACTCAATATTTGAGGCACTGAATTCATTCAATGTGTTTAAGATTTTACAAACTAGTTTTATTTTTCTAAAATTACTAATAAAATTCTCCATTTATCTTTAATTTGAGTAAAACCCATAACAGAGGGCCAGCAGGTGGCAAAGTAGTTAAGGTACTGGACTCCCACATGGCCAACCATGGTTCAAGTCTTGAACCTGGTGACTTGCTATCTCATTTTCTCTCTTTCTCTCTGTCTCTGATGAGTGCACATGCCCGATAGCAAATTAAAATAATAATAAATAGAATGAAATGATTCTTAAATAAAATCCATACAGAAAATGTAGCCTATGAGGAAACACTGACAGTAATAATTTTCAAAGTAAAATAACTAGTAAAAATAAGCTTTTAATAAAAAATGTAGTAACCATCAGTAATTGGGTTGTTTGGTTTGAAACCATTCAATTATTCTAGCATATCATTATCTGGAATGTTGTTTATAAAATCATTTTTTTCATTATACAAGTCACACAAATGTAATGCCCTTCCATCCTCAAGGCCTAGAGTCAGTGGAATCTTTATCACACTGCACTCATCTGCCTCCTGCTTCTATGTTTAAAGGATACTCTCTTTTAAGGTCAGCTGGTCAGCAATCTAATACAAGTTTACCCCCCTGCAATTCTAAGCTAGGAAGAATAACAGGGAAAAACTAATTCCCCACAGTCCTGCTACCTTGGTAAACTTCTTATAATTTTAATGTATTTCCTTTTGTCTTTTACAGTTTTTACATTAGAATGGGTTATTTCTGGAACCGGCAGGTGATCTGGTGGTTAAAGGTGGATTACCACATGGTAATGATTTGAGTCCTGGACCTGGCAGCCTGCTTTCTCGCTTTCCCTCTCTCTCTCTCTGGTCAAATTAAAAAGTAATAACAACAAATGGAATTAAATAAATAATTCTAAAAAAAATAAAAAAGAATGGGTTATTTCTGTTAAGTAGTGGAATTTAACCACTTCATGTGGATTTATAAGCTGGGTGATAAGATCAACTTATAAATTGATCTTTAAAATTTTAGAAGGAAAAAAAGGCTTCTACAAATGTTATGCTTCTATTTCACCAGTTGTTAGAACCATTACAATCAAGCAAGATTTGCTTTTATATTAACCTCTCCCTCAACAAAGATGGCTAATGGGAGCCTGAACAACCTGCTCAGGGGACAGGAGGAAACAGTTAGCCTGTGTGTTGATTGTAGGAGTTCAGAGAAAAAAGTTTTACTTTCTGCTTTATACACTTCTGCATTGTTGATTCTTTTTATACCAAGCATCATTACTTTTATAATAAAAGATAAATTTACATTTGCAAACAAAAAGTCTCTCCAGTATTCAGCTTCCTTAAGTTGAAATAAACAAAGCCTCCAACACAAGCATGGGTATAACCATCTCCCTCCAAAAAAGCCTAGAAAGAAGTGCAGCACTGCTCCAGTACAACTTGATCATTTGACAGATGAGGGAAATGAGTCCCAGAGAGTGATGTGTTTACCATCAGAACAGATATTCTTCCTTTTTGGCCTTGGGGGCTCCTGCTTGCCCACCTGAACAACCACAAAGTCTATCAGGACCAACCTCCCAGCTGGCATCCTGCCTGACGTCAGCCGAGAAATGAGATATGAGATTGCAAAAATGGATTCAGGGGAATGAGTCGGTCTCTCTGGATGGGGCACTGTCTCTCATAGGGAGCTGTTGCTGCCAATGACTTGCAGATAGCACAGCTAGTATATTAGTCTCTTACTGTGCTGCTTACAGAAATATAAGGCTGGGTATATTAAGAGAACAGAGGTTTATTTGATTCATGATTTTGGCCATGTGGAAGACCCAAAGGCATCACAAAATAGTGGAGAACAGAACTTTGAGCAGAGTAACTGTCCATAAGTTTCTGCTTATTCTGGTCTCCTTTCTTCTCTTACACACACAGCAGGACACAATCATAGTAGTCCTATCCCCATGAACTTATCACACTCAAAGGCTCTACTCTGGGATGCTATGAAAGGATTTAGGTCTTCACATAACACCTTAACAATACAACCAAGTCCCAAACAGATGAATTTCGGAGGGACATCCAAACCCCAGCAATAAGTAGCAGATGGCAGCAGCCTGGAACCCAATCCATGAATTCTTTCACATCTGTGGCCAAACTGGCACTTTCTTCAAGGCCTCTCTTCTAACCCACCTCTGCAGCAGTGCTAGGACGTCTGGATCTTGGTCTGGGTGCTTTGCAACACTTGGGTTGATGTTAGTTACCTCTCACTCACTAGCTCTGGTGTTGAGGCAGGCCAACCACCTTTCTCAGAGGAAACAAGGTTGGCCTTGGTATTCTTACTGCTGTTGTTTGTACCAGATTACTACAAATTTAGTGACTTCAAACAACACAATTTCTCCCAGTTCTGCCGGTCAGAAATCTGAGGTAGATCTCAGTGCTGGCAGGCATATGTTCCTTCTGGAGGCTCTAGAGGAGAATCTAGTTTTTGCGTTTTCCAGCTTCTAAAGACTGCCTACATTCCTTGGCTGGTGTCTCCCCTACATCTTCAAGGCCAAGAGCCAGTGGAATCTTTATCACACTGCATTACCCTGCCTCCTGCTCTTGTTTAAAGGATGCTCTCTTTTAAGGTCAGCTGGTCAGCAACCTAACATAACTTTATCCCCCTCCAACTCCAACATCATGTTATTAACAGGTTCCAGGGATTTGGATGTAGGCGTCTTGACTGGGGTTTGTGTGTATTATTCTGCCTACCACAGCATTAAACT